TTCCTTTTAATGACTCATCTGTTGATCAATTGATTTTCTGTTCAGTCGTGTTTCTTATGCTTAGCGATGTGCTGCTATCACCATCGTGGCGTCAAAAGTATTACTGGGTTGTTTTGGGTCTGTTTTTGCTATTATAAATGATTGGAAATCCTGCTTTTTTGGTTTTAATATTCAACTGGAGAAAAAATTATAAACATGAAAATAACTGTGATCTTTTAATGTTTTCCGTTCCTAAATGAAAGACATAACGGTTATAACCATAATCACAGTCCCAAACACTCTTACAGTTTATTCAGTAATTTATTAAATCGTATAATAATCTCACTTTCATGGTGAAAGCCATCAACATCCATTTCTATTTTCTCTTGAAGATGGCGAAATATAAGACATGTTTTCTCTCTTGTATTAAAAAGTAAATTCTAAATTTTAACTTCCACTTTAGAGAAACAAGAAGCAAAATTCAGAAAAAAATTTATATGATTGCATATTTTATTTTAATTATCAACTGTACAGCTGGTTCGCTTTAGGTATAATTTCATATCAGCTTGATTGGTCCAATCGATGGGATTATCTAGTTTTCGTCTAAAATTTCAATACCTACCCATACAGCACACTACATTAGTCATATAATACAATTTCGATTACGTAAGGACAAAATAAAGAACATTTTTCCCAAATTAATTATAAATCTAATTTAAAATGGATTCAAAAGAGAGTTTTTCGTGGCATCTGTACTTATGTATGTATGTATTTCTCATAACTCAAAAACGAGTAGCCTCAAAACGCTAAAATGTTGTATACAGGACTGCTAAAACATGTAGATGTGCGCCTCCTATTTTCGCTGCAATCGGCCGCCCCAAAAGTATATAAATATATGTATATATATATATATTATGCACTCTGTTACTCGGCTCAGTAAGCTCAGAGTTTTAAGAATAGAGAAACTGAATTTATTTGTTTGTAAATTGTGCATTTTTTGCTTTAAAAATGATTGAATTATGTGTTCTTATATTTCGGTTAAGTTTTTATGCCCAATATTCCATAAGCGGGGAAAGTTCAAAATTTGGCGAATTTTTTTGGCGGTAATGAAAGCACTAAGGAATGATTTTTAAACATAAACAGAATAGTAATTTTTAAGTTCTGCAAAATTGAAACGCCGTTATTTTATGTAACTATAATAGTAAAATGAGATCATAAAATAAGAGATGAGTAAAACAAAATCCAACAGCTTTGCAAGTAAAAACATAGTCCTATCTATGTAATTCATCATAAAATAGTAGAATGAATAATTCTTGTAAATAGTTATTGAGTAAATAAATATATATACTTATCAGATCAGAGCACTACGAAGTGAGTTTTAAACGTAAACAGAATAACAAATTTCTGTTTACAGTGGTGAACAGCGATTAATATGTGCAAACAGAATAGTGTATGAAATTGATTTAATGATAAAGCAACGTCGTGTAATTCAACACACTAAAAAACTTTCGTTCAAAACATTAAATATTTCACATCATTCGATTGCCACATGCAAGAAACAAAAACAAAAACAAAATAAATAAATAAATAATTAAATTAAATTAAATTAAAACATTCATAAATTACATAAGCTTCACGTCATCTAAAATCCAACATTATCCCATCAACAACAGCTTAACCTTCTGCAAATATTTATATAAATATAATATTAAACATAAATATAATAATAATATTAAACAGTGTGTATAATTTACACTCATGTCCATAAATTAAGGATAATTCGGAGTCACACAGAAATCGAACTCTAAAAAAAATATATCACCTGTAAAATCACTACACACATCTTCAAGAATCATATGCAAATTTCAGGAAGTAACCAGATGACACCGATGGTACGTCGCAATGACGAGAGTGTAAGAGAGTGATATATAAGGAATACAGGCAAAGAAGTAAAATTGTTCGCAGGCGCTTTATAAGAATTTCAGTACAATAACTGAATAGTTATGACACAAAGGACGCATTTGGATGATTGTTTACGTGGTAGAATTATCGGCCGACTGGAATGTGGACGTACCCAACTGGAAGTATCAGACGAACTTGGAATCGCCCAGAGTGTCATTTCCAGGCTTTTGGCAACGATTCCAAGATGGTGGTAATGTGAGAAGACGTTACAGCACAGGTCGCTCCAGAGTTACAACGCGGATTGAGGACCGGTATTTGGCAGTTACAGCCAAAAGAAGCAGGCGGAGCACAGCCTCAGACCTGTCTCGTTAGCTCTCTTCAGCCACTGGTACGACAATTTTAAGGCAGACCGTGTACAGATACTTAGGGCAGATTGGTCTATAAGCTCGTAGACCTGTCAGATGCGTTCCACTTACTGCAACTCACTGTCGCCTGCGGTTAGCCTGGAGTACAGAGCATGCATTGTGGACATCGCAACAGTGGGCTTGTGTGATGTTTTCTGACGAGTCCAGGTTTAGCTTGCAGTTTGATTCTCTTCGGACTTGATATGGAGAGCTCCAGGTACCCGTTACCACCAAGAAAACATCATTGAACGACACCGTTACGGTGGTGCAGTAGTGCTCGTTTGGGGTGGAATTATTCTGGGTTCCAGAACTGACCTGCATGTTCAAATTGGAGCCATGACAAGCCAAATCTATCGGGACGTCATCCTGGAACAACATGTACGTTTGTTTCGGGGCGCCATGGTCGCACAATTTGTGTTTATGAATGACAACGCCCGTCCTCACCGTGCAAACATCGTAAGCGAATGCCTTAAATCTTAGGATATCACCCGTATGGACTGGATAGCATTCTCACCGGACTTGAATCCAGTAGAACACGGGGCCCACCAGCGGCCGAGCGGTAATGTCGATGAACACTGGTAGTTCGGTCTGAGGTTCGAATCCCGAGAACGGGCTGGCTGCATTGGGTGTTTTCGTGGTTTTCCCCATGTGTAACGTGTATACGAACCAATTCCCTTAGAAAGTCCTCCACGAAGGCATCCCTCCCCTTAGGCAGATAGCCCTAGTGTGCTTTGCCATAATTAAATACACCAACACCAACACATCCAGTAGAGCACGTGTGGGATATGCTTGGCTGATGAGTTGCAGCCCGTCAACCTCCTCCTACATGTCTACCGGAACTTCGAAGAGCATTTCTTTTTTAGTGGTGTATATCCCCCAAGATCAGATCGATAATTTGATACTCAGCATGCCTAGGCGTTGTACGGACTGTATTGCATCGTCTGGGAGACATACAATGTATTAACAATCATACCAACTACCGTATTTACGCGAATCTAATGCGCATCATTTTTGGCCAAATGAAGCATTCGAAATTGGGGTGCGCATTAGATTCGAGTGCAAAGTTCGCCGATGACGTCAAACAAATTTAAATCGTAACAATGGATTACTGTATTTCTCGACTACATTTACCATTACATTTATCGTTGACACATTATTGCATAGAGGATACAGAAATAAAAGATACAAGAAATGCTGCATTTCAAATTCATTGAATCGCAGTGAAGATGACATGCTCTGGAACGCCGAGGATGACAATGATGATGATGAGGAAAGAAGAAAAGAATCTGCTTCTGACGAAGAGAGCTGCGAGGATTCCAGTGATGAAAACATTTGTGAATAAAGACGTTTACTATTAATCACTGATTGTAGAAACTGTTAGCTAGATAGAAATGTTACGATTTATTTCATGTTCATATTTTACGATAGGTACCGTATATACGGTAGTGGTAATTAACAATGATTGTTTCACATAACAATAGCCCACTAATAGGTTAATTCTATGTTCTGCTACTTTATGTATAAATTCATTGTTGTATAAAATATGGTATCTAAATTTAAATAAAATTATCATACCATTGATTGATAATTTATATACAAATCCGTTTTTGTATAAAATAAGATTCAAAAAATTCCTCATTCCATTAATGCGCATTACATTCGCCGACAAACACATTTTTTATTATTTAAAGTTTTAAAATGGAGATGCGCATTACATTCGATGGCGCATTAGATTCGCATAAACACGGTATGTAATATTGGTTTTTTTTAAATATTTTTTTTTTTTTTTGTAATTTGCTCCAGGGAGAAAAAATCGCTAATTTTTTAATAATATCAAACATAAAGCCTCTTGTTTTGCTCTTTACCTTTTGTTTAATAAATAAGCTTTACAAATAAGTCAAATTTGTTTTGCTTCTAACTCTTCCTTTTCCTGATTTTGCATTATCCTTAATTTATGGACATGAGTGTAATATCCCGTACAAGGAAGTCCTGTGGTGTACACATCAGATTTTTATAGTTGTATCTACAGAATAAAATTTATATAATTTAGACAATAATGTCATTCTCAAATACACGTACTTTGCGCATGAAATCTAATCTTCTTAAATGAAAGGTCAATACCCCGGCCGCTTCTTTATCGTTAGATCATAAATATAAAATTAAATTTAAGTGATAAAAAAGTTTTTATGAGATTAAATTTAAGAAATAGTTCCTAATACCCGATTAGCAAGAGAAAGTATCCACATAACAGGAAATGTAATATCAATGCTTTCTCTGAAACTACATCAAAGAATAAATTGATACTAAGATTACAATACAATATGGTTAATAGTCAGTACAATATGGTTAGTACTAGTCACATCGATACTGTTTCGATGAAGACAGTAATTAATACTGTCATTTTATAAACTGAAGAAAGATTTAATACTTTTCAACTAATTTTAAAATTTAATTTGTAAATTGAAGAATTTGTAAATAGCCCGGAATATTTTATAAGGTAATGCAAAACTTTGTTAATGGTGTTAAAAAACAAACATTTTTTCAGATGGAAGCTTGTTTTTGCTGATCAAAAATTTTTAACTCATTATTTTGAAATATGAAACATTGTACTAATTATCGTGACTTTCTAAACAATTATTATATATTGTCTTTGGGACGTTAAATAATTTTTTGAAAATCTATAAACTTTTTTTGTTTATATGTATCTGCCAACAGTGACTTGTCTGGTTCCTTCAACCCCAAATGGAATCTACAATCACCTACAGAGGACGTTGATCGAGAATGAAGAGGTTCCTCATTCTGAAATTCTGACTTTTACTTGTCTGCCGGGATTCGAGTTGATGGGCGTGGATTCTCTCAGATGTTGGTACGGTAACTGGGCCATCGACAATTTCCCCTACTGTGCAGCAAGTAAGTGCAGCAATATTAATTTCAGAAGTGTAAAGATGTTTGATAATTTGTATATTGTAACCTGTAACTAAAATGTAGTGAAACTTTCTGAAGTCGCTTTTCATACACTCTTCACCGAATCTGAATTTATAACTCAATTTTAGATCAAATTTTGAAAAAAAAATGTTATTACTATTCCTCTGGTTAGTTCTGGGTAGTGTTCCAGGATTAATACCTCTTATAGTCCGTCGATCATACTACGCTTCCAAAAGGCAACAGGATAAGGATTTACCTGAATTTTAAGTCTGGTCTTCTTTCCTTCGCCTTCTGTATTTGTATATTAACCCTACATTGCATAGTGTTGCTTTTTATCAACGTAAGCTTAAACTTCTTTTTGCAGGAGCCTGTATTGTTTAGGCATTTAGTTTAGGCATTATAATTAGGCATTTAGTGAACGTTCGTATGTGTTCTTAGAGTGTAGTCCTTAATTACATTCATAGATGTCACCAGATGCTTGATTTACGTAGAGGTGCAGTTGATGGCGTCATGCAAGTGTTACCAAAATTGCGTACATTATATTCGCAATATATTAAAAAACTGACATGATTCTTGCTGCTTTAAAAGTTCTTTTAAAATTATATCTGTGTTAAAAATAGAAATAACAAAAATTACAATTTTGTCCATGACCCATAAATTTCACCAGCCCATGAATCAAGCTGCTTTTAACTTTTCATCAATGGTTTCAATACGAATGCCCAGTAACAATGAAGGTGAAAGTAGGAATGAGGATGAAACTTATGGCAGTAGCAATAATTTTACAGAAACATATTGATAACACAGAAACATTCTGAAGTGAAACATATATTTCCAGATTTGCATTCAAATGTTAACACGTACGCTGCCGAGCGACATACGAAACCTACTTCGACCTACGAGATAACTCGTGGTTGGCAGCGAACGTGTTAAAGGTAACCCTTTTTAAATTCATGTAAAACATCCACGCCAAATCATAAACTGTGCTAAACACTCTTCAATTAAAAGGCTTTCGCATAGCATTCAAATCAGGGTGCATCGGTGTATTAAGGTAGTGATGATGATGTATTTAATTATGGCAAAGCACACTAGGGCTATCTGCCTATGGGGAGGGATGCCTTTGTGGAGGACTTTCTAAGGGAAACTGGCTCGTATACACGTTACACATGGGGTAAACCACTAAAACGCCCATGCAGCCAGCCCGTTCGCGGGATTCGAACCTCAGACCGAACTACCAGTGTTCAACGACTTTACCGCTCGGCCGCTGGTGGGCCGTATTAAGGTAAAAGGGAAGAACTTTGAACGAGATGGAGACTGCATTTAATTCAGTCACGTTTTCATCCTCAGCTAGTTTAGTTAGCTTTCTCTAGTTTTGTTTGGATCAAATCTTTTGAGTCAATCTTTTACATTTAAACTAAGAGCAAAATATGCTTAAGACTGTGAGAGTAATTTGAATATCGCATAGTCAGTAATACATTTCTTCATATCCATCGTTCATTAATTTTGCAATTCATATTCTTATCATCTCTTCTTGCACACTTGTTCAATACTATTTTAAATGTCCAAGAACTATTTCATTTTGTCAAATTTTCCTTATGATCTTTCAAGTGAGATTTCAAAATAATTTTCTTCATATGATGGAAAGAGTTAATTCCTCTTTTAAATAACTAAACACTTCTTCGGCGTTTAAGAAATACTTTCAATTTTAAGACACAGTAACAAAATCAGTATTTCTTTTTATATTTAAATTTGGTTTTATATTAAAAATTGCATTAAGATATGCTCAGTTCTTTATTGACATCTTATTTAGTGTCTTGTGCGGTCTAAATGTTCGGTTAATGTGACATTAACATTTACAGTATAATGTTCTGGAAACGTATAAATCTTAAAACCGATTACACAAAATAGCAGTTGTCTTTATCTACACTTAAGGAAGAAAACTTTATATAATTGTTCAGTTGCTTACGTTTCCAGTAAGTTTCATTTTCTTGATGACTAAGAAGAAATAATTTGGCCTTGTATTGTAAGGATCTTAAGTTTTACTAACGTTTATTTTATTTTAAATCTTTACTATCACTTCTTATTTTCTACTTCCGGCCAGAATTAAAAGCGTTAACTTATTTATGCAAAATTTGTCTGGCGAACGCCAAGTACTTAAGTTGTGGCTTTTTGCCAAGCGAGAGAGAGGAAGGAGTTAGTCGAAGCAGGCCGCTTACCTTAGAAGTTTTACTCAGTTGCTGGTTGCCTTCCAGGCCAGAGGTTTAATCCTCTTGATAATTTTAAACGTATTGTAGTGTTAACAGTTCTCTGTACTACATACGGCTTCCTGTTAATATAAGGCCAATCTTCCACGTTTATTATTTCCAAAGTTAAGTTAGAGTTTAGTTAAATATTTTTATATTCTTACGTTTAGACCACAAGTAGTGGGTCTTGTATTCCGAAGTACGGAAATTATTGTAAAGAGAGAAAAAAATAAAGGGTTTTGTATACCCTTCTTGTGTATCCTGTCTACTTCCCACAGTTTATTGAACATAGCTTTAGTAAGCTCTCTGTTCCGAGTCAGGTCCTTGCATGTTCCCGAAGAAAGTAAGACGGAACATTGAACCTGATAGTGGCGCCCAACGAAGAAGAATAACCATGGCCGAGTTTCAAGAAGAAGAACCTGTGCTGCCTGCAGAAGCGGCTCAGAATCCAGAAATGCCAGCTGCCGCCCTGGAAGGATTTGGTTACATCGTCCAGACCATGCGCGCTTCGATGAAACCAGAAGCAACATTTAATGGAAACTCACCGGTAACCAGTTTTTTGGAAAAATTGGATGACCACTTCATGCTCTACCCCGTGCACGAATTTCAAAAAGTTACCTTAGCTACCAGCGCTTTGAGGGGCCAAGCGCTTAACTGGTTCAAATGTATAGGCAGAAGTCTCTTGGGTCAAGCAGGAAGTCCCACCTATACTTACGAGAATTTCAAGACTGCCCTAGTAAAAGCCTTCCCTGTCGTAAGGGATCGTGCGAAATTAGAAACGGAACTTTTCAGCATATATCAGCAAAGAATCGAAAATCTCTCAAGCTTTATTTTAAGAAAAATTCACGTCTTCAAACTCTTGTATGGAAACCGTCCGGATCCTGAGATAATTCAAGTGATTTTGCCGAGGTTACTGCCCCAAGTGCAAGACTTTATTGAATTAAGAAATCCGACTACACTGGAAAAGTTATTTGAGCTAGCAATCCAGTTTGAAAGTAGAAGAACGGCGGACATTGAAAGAAGACGCCAATATCAACAGCGAAACCAATTTGGTGCGCCAAGACTACAGCAAACTCAAGCACACGGCTACGGAAGCAAAGCGAATCAGTGGGCAAGGAAACCCGAGCATTCAAAAACAGCCGGCGAACGTCGACAGTTCAATAGCAATCCAGGAAAAAAAGTCTCAAGGCCAGTGGAAAAAGAAGGAAAGCACGGAAATGAAAAATAATTTAAACTAAAACGGATTTCTGCTGACGGGAGGGTGCGGAAATCCGAAGGCCAAGAAAACCCCTCTTCCTTCAAGTTAAATACAGTAATGGTGAAAAATTTGACTCTTCCGAAGATTGAAGTGTTGGTGAATAATATCCCAGCCACCGCACTCCTGGATACAGGCGCGCAGTGTTCCTGTGTGGCAGAAGATTTTTTTAGGAAGTATTTTCGTAAATATCGCATATATAATTCGGATAATACGACAGTGTTAGCGGCGCAAGGAGAAAAATGTAAGTGTATAGGTAAATTACCGCTGTATGTCCGTATCAAGGACGAACAAGTAAAGGTTATGTTTTTTATAGTAAAGAATCTGCAAGCACATATTATCTTTAGGAATAGATTTTCTTTCAGAGGCACAAGCAACGCTGGATTTTAATGAAGCGTCCCTTAAGCTGACGATGAAACCAGTTCGTGAGAAGAAAAGGCTGAACCGCCGATGTTAAACCTTGACCACCTGCCTAATGAAGAGCAACGAAGAATCCGACAAGTGGTAAGTGAATTTGCTTCGTTATTTAGTGATATTCCAGGATTTACTCAGGTTACTAACCATAGTATTGACACCGGAGATTCAATGCCAGTTCGCCACAAAGCATACCGGTATGATAAGAATAAGGAAAAAATTATAGAATGGCATATCACCGATATGCTACGTAAAAAGATCATAACGCCCATCTCAAGTAGTTATGCTAGCCCGGTGGTTTTATGTAAGAAAAATAATGACTATCCTTTGACACATCCAAAAAGGTGGAGATTCGCAATTGACTACCGTAAATTAAACTCCATAACTAAATATCCGGTATATCCGTTACCTATTATTGAAGAAATTCTAAGGAACATAACATCCACCAAATATATGACGACTTTAGACTTAACGACTGGTTATTTTCAAATAGGGGTTAGGCCTGAGGACGTGCCTAAGACTGCTTTTATAACCAAGTCTGGCACTTATGCATTTTGCGTATGCCGTTTGGCCTTTCAGGGGCACCGGCAACATTTCAGCGATGTATGGACATTGTGTTAAGGCCTGTTCTTGGAAAGTCCACATTTATCTATTTAGACGATATCATTATTACTAGTGATAATCTCGACCAACATGTACAGGATTTAAGACAGGTGTTTTCTTTATTAAATGAGGCCGGTCTAAAAGTTAATGTCGAAAAGTGCAAATTTGCAGCCCCTGAATTAAAATATTTAGGTTACAAAATATCTCAGAAAGGAATCGAGACAGACGAATCAAAAATAATCGCTGTACAAAAAGTATCCGACTCCAAACACGGCGAAGAAGCTCTCTTCTTTTCTAGGACTTTGTTCATATTATAGGTCCTTTATAAAAGATTTTGCAGCTATTGCTGAACCATTGTTAAAATTAAAAAGGAAAAAGGCAAGATTCTCGTGGACGGCCGAAGCCAATAGTGCTTTCGAAAAATTAAAACAAGCATTAACGCAAGCCCCTGTGTTGAAATTTCCTGAAAAGGA